GTTCCTGGGAGACATGGGAGAGGGGGAGGTGCAGGGAAAGGAAGTGGTGTTCACAAATCCAGGGACAAGGGAACAAGTGATCCAAATCGGTGGTGAGGAGAGGGTATAGGAGGCCTGGTAGGGCGTGACCAAGGGCAATGTAACTGAGAGGAATTACTGAAACCCTAATGAAGGCTGAACATGATAGTGGGACAAGAGGAAAGTAAAAGTAAATAAAGTTTTTTTTTTTTTTTTAATGTGGCTTCTGATAACCAGGGCTCAAGTAGAAAGCAAGCGTTTTGAGAACAATGATGGCAACAAATATACAAATGTGCTTGACACAATGGATGTATGTGTGGATTGTGATGAGTTTTATGAGCCCCTAATAAAATGATTTAAAAAAAAGATACAGGTCCAGAGGAAAAAGAGCAGAGTAAAAACCACCCTGTCCTTCCAAGGGGTACTGCCTTGGAGGCCGTTGCTCTCCCGGGGCGCCCACCTCAAAGCTAGTCGGTTTCATCACCAGCTCCAGTCAGGATGTGAGGTTGATTTTGGTTTCTGTGCTCGACATCCTTGGACTACTCCGCATGTTTGGTGACTGCCAGGAGAACTCCCTGGAGGCGGCATTCGGTCACACTCACGGTTAGGACTTATTACAGCAAAAGTGGACAGAGCCAAATGCACGGAAGGAAAAGCACGTGAGCAGAATCTAGTGGAGCCTGGCCCAAGCTTTCAGGAGCCGTCCCCAGTGGAGTCACAGAACCATCCGCCTGGTGTCGGAGGCTGTGCACAGTGCATGGAACCAGATAGCCTCATCTCTTTCCTGCAGAGCAGCCAGTGGTTTTGAACCATCTACTTTGTGGTTAGCAGTCCATGTCTTACCGATAGCATGACCAGGGCTCATTAGCCACCTTTTTTTGGGTTTTGTTTTTATCATTTTATTGGGGGCTCATACAACTCTTACCACAATCCACACATACATCCATTGTGTCAAGCACATTTGTATATTTGTTGCCATCATTGTTCTTAAAACGCTTGCTTTCTACTTGAGCCCTCGTTATCAGAAGCCACCTTATTTAAAAAAAACAACAAAAAAACGTTGCCGTTCAGTCGATTGACTCATAGCAACCCTACGTCACAGAGTTGAATATCCCCTGTGAGTTTGCGAGGCTGTAAATAGTGGCTGGGGCAGAAAGCCTCATCTCCTATGGAGTGGCTGGTGAATTCGAACTGCTAACCTTGTGTTTAGTAGCCTAACTCATAACCCACTATGCCAACCTATAGGGCACGTTTAATTCCCCCCATAAAGAGTTGTGGCAACACATGTGGAGCATTGTCTGCTGAGAAACCTTTCTAGGGACTCAGTGTCTGCATTTTTTACTGGATGCTGCTCATATTGACACCGAGACTCCAGAAGGTGGTTGCCAGAAAGCATGGTGTTTGCACAACCCCTTTCAGCGCTATGATTGGGGAGTGTTGGCGGCACTTACGAAATCTAAATGTATAGATTCCAACCAAGGGCCAAGCTCTGACAGCTGGCCTTTCTAAGAAATAGCCTGGGCCTGTTCTACTAGGCTCTGCAGTTTCTAAGTCGGCCCCTGCTTTTTCACTTTGAGTGTGTTGAGGGCTCGCTCACCTCTGCGTCAGGCGTTTGGAGTTGTCTGGCTTAGCTGAGCCTCAGTGTTGACATTTTGGAGACATGCTGACCCGGATTGGTGGGCACTCTGACTCCGGTTACTGCTGCCTGCAGTCACGGAGGCTTTCTGCTGGCGGGCACCCTTGCTGCTGGCCTCTGTCCTTTCTGCAGTTGGCCTGCCCTGTTGCCAGGCCTACCCTTATTGGCAGGGCTTCCTTTTCTTTGGTTCCCACGTGGGCCCTGGTGCTGACTCCAATCTGAGGTTTTCGTGTTCTGCCCTGGGGGTAGGGAGGGAGGGGGCTCCACTAGAGGAGGGTGGTTGCCATTCAAAGCCTATCTTACTGTTGGAGAAATGTGTTCCTAGGCGAGCATCCCTTTGGGGTGTGAACTCTTTGCCTTTGAGCCATGAGACTCATTCTGTTTTTTCCCTCCTCGGTTTCCTCTGAGT